GGATGAGGGGGCAGAGCTCATTGATGCATGTGTTTGATGTGGTCAAGGAGGTTGGGAGTAGTGGTCACGAAGGAGATTAAGAATTGTGCCTGCCTGCAACATCATCTCGCCAAGGATTTCTTACTTCTTTACCGGGTGACTTGACACCCCGAAACATCATCGAAATATGGTCAGAGATTTGACGGTGACAGAAGGGGTTCTATGCAACCGGCGTGTATGACATAAGATCATTAGTCATATATAGCATGCCTCGTTTTGTTTTTCTTTACAAACAGCAAGTTGAGCTTAAATTTTACCTCTAAATACTCTTTCTTTCATGGAATCTTACGAGTTATCAAAGAAAATGATTATTATACTCTCTTAACTTGCTTTCAAAGAAATAATGTTTTCAAGTGCTTGATTTCTCTAAAGTAGGATTTTCCATATAAATTATCTGAAATGTGCTAAAATCTTATTTATGAAACTCCACTTACGATTAAAAGTTAAGCTACTGTAGACAATTGGAGAGAGAGAGGGAGAAACAAATAATAAAAGAGAAATAAAATGGGTCGATTCATTAGGACTTCATTCTTGAAGATAGAAGAGAGAGAGAGAGAGAGGATTTTTTAAGAGATAGAATCCCACTTTCCTTAACTTATTAATTGACATTAAGAAGTTTACATTTGCACTATTAAATATTTATAAGTATATAGAATTTTATGTCAAAAATGTTTGTTGAATTTTCTGCATTTTTGATAGAGCACAAGAGTTTAAACCACAATTAGAAGTATGAATCTGTCTTTGAACTATTGCTGGTGTCATTATTCAAGCTTGGCTCATTGATGGGCCTAAATAATCGACACATCATCCAATGTATTTGAACGCATGGGTAAGTTCTTAAAAGCATAGCTAAAATTCATCTCACAACCAACTAGATGTAAGGTAAAAGCTACAACGCTTAGCGAAACTGCCACCTGCATATCAAGATACAACCTTCCCTAATAACACACAGCACAAGAAGCTCACCCAAACTCTGCCATGGCCGGTCCCAACCCGGTCATGCTGGTCCCTAGTCCGGAAGGATTGTGTTAGGTAGGGAAGCTAGTGTAAAACTTTGCCACATCTTTTCATAAATCCTGAACTATAAGCTCACTCAACAACCTTCTCATTAGATGATCCCTCTTTTCTCATGAACTAAAAGCTCACTCAACAACCTTCTCATTGGATGATCCCTCTTTTGTTTTATTGGACATCGCCATAGAGCTCACACCCTCAACGCCCTTCCCTTTCTCCTTACAAACTTTATCTGGATATTTTGCAAGAGCAGCAGCTAGAGCTGATCCAACAGTCAAGCCGGGTTCCTCGTGCTCCTTGGTCTCATGACCTTTCTTCTCTTCTTCTTTTCTCTCTCCACATGTTTCTTTACTTTTACCTGCCTCGTCAAGTTTTGGATCCTCTGGGGCTGGAATTCCTGATCCAGTAAAAGGATGGCTTGGCACATTGCGTTTGAATGGTTCATGAAATGTGTCATACAAGCGCTTAACCTGGAGAGAGAGATTAAGATCAGATTCAAGAGGTGTATTTTCTTGTTTTCACAAGATGATGAAGTAGCAAAACAGAGTAAACACCAGAAAGAGTTGAATAAACAGCATTCACAACATAATTTCTTAAAAATGGGAAAAATAAAGACCTGGACCATTAAAAACAGGCCCAAGTTTCCATTATCTCGTTAGGAGGCATGGTTCAGAACAAGAACCGATAGACTAGTATAGACAGCCTGTGGCGTAGCATATGAATCAGAGAGAGAGAGAGAGAGAGAGAGATCATGACAGAAGTCTAGGAAAATAATTGAACATACCATTGTCTTAGACTCTTCAAAATGCTCATCCAAATGTGTGTGTGTGAGAGAGAGAGAGATCATGGTAGGAGAGTAATAAACGATCTTGTTGTCTTAGGAATGCTCATCCACATGAAACACAAGTAGAAGATATCGTGGTGTACTGAGAGAAATATTAGGAGATTACGTCTTAAGGAAATTGAGAAGATCTCGTACTTAGGAATCTCAAGCGATTCTTTAGAAGTCTAGAATTTAGTATGTATAGACCATGATTTATGAGAGAGAAGATAAGATGAATGGCCATGGTACCTTGAGCACAACACGGCGTTTGTCACTCAAGACAATTAGACGAGAGGATAGTAAGCATATATTTCAATAAGAAAAGCAATAAGGTCACATGCTCGTGGGGGAGTAAAATCTACATGTATCTGAGCAAAAACCTACCTATGGGAAATTTTTGGACCACAAATATTGGGCATTTAATCTCTTCATTAAAAAAGGAAGAGTGTGCACCCTAGAACTGCATGAAAAAATCACTCTCGAAGATTGAAAATAGACTACTCAGATCTAGATGTTTACGGACTCAAAATCTTTTTTTTGGTTGTTTATTGAAAACATTCCCCTGACGATTATAAGGTGATTCCCAAAGATTTAAATAAATCCTTCCTAAGTGGATATTTTGTCCCTGGGAAAAGTGAACAATTTGCTCCCCCAATAGTACACCATACGCACCATATGAATTTGTTACCCGGGTGTACACCAACAATTTGCCCCCCAGGAGTACACCACAATAAAAAATAGACAGAAAGACGACAAGAAAAGTGACAGGAAGTTTACATGAGATCACCCCACAAGAATTAAAAAGCTGCACATGTAAGTGTTCTGCAACTTCCAGGCTAGAAAATACATGAAGAGGTTAGCTGCTTCGCACATGGTTTTGCTCAGAAACCATGATTCCTAGAATGCAGAGATACTCCAAACAATACAAATTAAGCCTAATAAAGCATCGTCATATACCTATATTAACACACTCCACAGTATACATACAATGATTTCTTTCTATGAAAACAAATCAAACATAATAAGAAATTTCAACATACTGAATAGGACGAGTATCAGGAGAATAACTAAGATCCCAACCAGACTAGTGTGACAATGCACATATAACTATGTACTGGAAATTCCTTGTTTCTTTATAGCACTCATTGATAGAAATCTCTTTTCTTTTAAGTCAAAAGATTAACATGCTTCATGAGCTGGAAATGCAATCCAGTATGAATTTGTGTACTGTGCGATAAAGTAGCAATCCAGTTCTATGAACAAAAAATCACAAACATTGAGAATACATCCTACTGCTTTTGACTTCATACATTCCACAACTGCGGAATAGAAAAAAAAAACGATCACAATAGGTACAAAACTTTCTGTAGCAGCAAAATACAATGTTGTCTAGATGAAACCTTGTATCAAAATACTAAATGAACGACCATGCCGTGAAATTTATGGATAAAAGGAAAGAATATCAGGCATTTTCCTATATTTCAAGAAAACAAAAAAAAATCAGGCATTTACCTTGTGTTCACCAATACCTGGGCAGCGAGCTAAGTCTTCCATGGAGGCATCCATAACACGAGAGAGTGACTGCAATGGCATTTACATAGAGAACATTCAGAATTAACAATCTTCATCAGTGATGCAGGAAAATTTGAGAAAACAGTAAAACAAAAAGAAACAAAGCCAAACACAAACATAATTCAAAGAAACCTAGGTTTTCTTCTCCACACCCAAACTAGGGTTGCAAAAGCCTGAGCTTTTCTTTTTTCTCAATCCTGGAAAATCACGTGACTGCCTTCTCCTAGGCCCCCAAGCACTTCTTTATAATATAATTTAATGTTCCAAGTACAAAAAGTGTCCAAATAAACAATACATACTCTCATATATCCAAACTTGAACTTAAAATTCGTAACAATAGTGGTACCCCTGTAAACAGTACCCATCCATAGTATTCATATAGTAAATAAAAATATAAAAAACCTTAGAATCCTTAAAAAAAAAAAACGTTAGAAATAAAATCCAAAACTAAAACTGTAATATACATCATTTAAAAGTGAAAAAAATTAAAAATAAGAATAATTTTACTCTCCATCATTTTCCCCTGGTTGGAAAAAACTCATCCTCAAGTTTTGAAGTGTGCTAAAATGAATTCAACATCAAAATCATCTTCTTCAACCTTCTTTTTCTTTGTTGGTTCAAATATTATTCGTGGTAAAAATAATTCCTAATGAAATAGATCTCGATATGTATATTGAGGAATCAATGCAAATCTATCAAATACAACTATCCTTGAACTCCTATTGAAAATCATGTACAAAACTTCAAACCCAATTTTATAGTTTTTAGAGGTTTTCTTAACATCTATTTTCATTACTTTCTGAAATCAGGGTCACAATTTGTGGTTTGTGAGTTGACCACGTTTCATCTGTGCTACTCTGATTCCAATGCCCTAAAATTCTTGAATGCTCTACCTCTTTGATATTAATGAGATCTTCAAATGCCATGATTCAGATGAGTCCTATTGTCTTCTCTCCATACTCTTTACCCTCTTCCAAAATCCTTTCATTATCATCTTGATCCTTATCATATTTCAAATCCCCTAAATGATCTTATTGTTCATCAGAGTATCTATCTGAGGAATTCCAGGAACTTACAATCCCTATTACAGTTTTACATCAACCCTCTATATGAGGTCGAACACCCTTGATTCTGGCCTTGAAGCTTATACACTCATAGTTCTAAGAAGACAAATATACAGACAAGTAAAAAAACATCAATATGGGCCCGTATACCTGACTATGTGTTGGGGTACTATCCACGAATCTGCTACTTCTCGAGCTGAGGCTTCAAGTGAATTAGGATCAACAATTTCTTTCTCTATCTTAATGATTTCTACACCACAGATCAGAAGATGGTGACATCAGGACCTATCTCTTGAATGCCCGTGCAATCGGTATTGTCACTCCCCTTGTCTCTCTATCACGCACAAAATGGAAATGGGTGCGTATCAATTTTTTCCTCCCCCTTCTCACTGAAAAGTGGATTTAAGTAGACTTCCTGAAGTGATAAGGATGAGAATCCATGAAGTATATCCAAATCGTTGACCATATCTGTTTTCTCTCATGATTTGGTTTGAAAAGGTAAGCTTGTATCCTTGTTTGAATTTGAAAGCGCTTCCAGATAGCTTTAATGATAATTTTGTCCTTGTTTGATCTTGATCTTGCAATAATGTTCTAATTTGATTGTGCAACTACCAAGATTCGTTGCGAGATTCTATGAGAAAATCAAGGAAAGTGGTTATTTCTTATCCGTCGTCGATTAATCTGCAGAACAACATTGACATGTCTTGGTATTTCCGCTGCTGCATTCTGATGCCAAAACCTTTCACCATGAAATTTTGAGAGATAATAGAGGACTCAAAGACGAACACAATGTTTCAAACCTCACCTCAAATGGATCACAGACGAGAAAGATACGGCCCGTCGAAGTGAACCGATTTCTGCTACAGATTGCGACGGCAGATCTGAGGATTGCGGTAACCGCTTCCACCACAGGGGATTATAAACCTTGGGAATATGATAGTTTTGTGGAGGGGACTATGACACACATCTCCACAAAATTTGGGCTCAAGACTCTCCATATCTTGGGCAAAACGATCTAGCGACAGTCAAACTTTTGCACAGTTTTCATGGTTACTATTCCAGAGCTTGTTGCTTTCTCATGAAAGAATCATAGGATGCTGCACTTACATGGCTGATAGGGCATTGAGTAAGGAATCCAATGGTCTAGGTTTAATGAGAAAACTCTTTATAAATTGGGAGAAATCTCAAATTTAGCGACCGGAGTTCATCTTGGCTATCTGTCTGGCACGTAATGCATAAGGATCTGGCTGCAAATGAATATGGATGATGGGTTAAGCCATCTCCAAATGACCTAAATCTTTGAGATTAGGGGTATATAATTTCCAAGAGCTTCGGATCAATTCCCAAAATATCAAGCTCGGGGTCGTTGGTCAAGGCATATCTTGGCCGCCGATGAATCATGACCGGTGGGCCAAATGATGTCCAATTTATATGGTTCTTGGACTAGAGGCATATGAGGTCTCAATGAATATATTTGTAAAGACACACCTCATTTTGATATCATATGATGCGGTTTCCTTATGCTCCATCTGTCAAACACTCGTTTGGTAGACGATGGAGTCAAAAACGTATTGTACTGCATCAAACTCTTCCAATATTGTGTGGAGAGGTGTATTACAGCCTCGGAATATATATCCCAGAGCTTGTCTCAAACTGAGATGGTCTAATGGTCCTTTACGACCGGTTGTTAGCCAAGATGCGCATATTTGACTGACGTCGGATTTGAAAGTGTATCATACTGTATCGAAACTCTTCCAATATTATGTGGAGAGGCGTATTGTTTCCTTGGGAGTATATGTCCCAGAGTTGGTCTCGAATTGAGATGGTTTACTTTTGCTATCATTGTTCCTAGAAAGATCATACTCCATTTATCATATCAAGGGCATGACTTGCAAATATCTTCAAGAATCACATCCTTCGGGTTTGTATAGTGACCCACCGTCTTCCAAGATATATTGATCTGGCGTCCGCTCAATACTTATTTCATGCGCCACGCCATAGCCCGATTGATGCATTTTTCCAAGTGTATTTAGTCTTGCATCATGACTAAAAATACACCCAACAATGATCAACAAAAACTTGCTAAAATCAGTAAGATCTACATTTGATTTCGCAAAATTTGGGCCAAATTCAGCCAACCCTAGATTTGGTTGGAGATCATTGGCCTTGTTGTTGAAGGAGCTTTGATACCAAATTAAAGAAGGGAAAATTGAAGAAAATAGTAAAATCAGCGAGAAACAAAGCCAAACACAAGAATGATTTACAGAAATCTAAGGTTTCTTCTCCACACCCAAGGTACGATTACAAAAGCTTGAGCTTTTCTTTTTCCTCAATTCTGGAAAATCACGTGACTGTCTTCTTCTAGGTCCCCATGCACCTCTTTATAATATTATTTAACGTTCCAAGTACAAAAAGTGTCCGAACAAATCATACATTGACCCATATCCAAACTTAAACTTAAAATTCGAAATGACAATTTTAGCCTCATGAACAGTACTAATAAACAATATTTATAATAGTACTCATAAAGTAAATAAAAAATATAAAAACCATAGAATCCCTAAACCTCAAAAAAACCTAGAAATAAACCCTAAGACTAACACTATAATATACATCTTTTGAAATTGAAGAAAAATTAAAAATAAGAAATTTTCCCTCATCCAATGAGCCGATAAATAAGTGATTGATAATAAGTGAACTATACACACTACAAGAAAATTGCAATAACCGAGACGAAATCAACGAAATTAATGGAATATTGCAAAGACTAGGATCAACTCATTTAACTTAGTAATAAAAAAACTAAATCACGAAACCGAAGAAACTAAGATCCAAATCTTCGACAAAAGAAGCAGGCAGAAACACTCGAACGCCCAATTCTATATCAACTAAGAAAAAACTAATATTACATAAAAATCAATAAAGACCTAATTAAAGTCAATTGCAAAGTAATTCTAGACTTGAGTTTGGAGGCAAAAAAAAAGTCTGGACCTCACTGAAGGAATTAACCTTGACAAAGCAGAAGATATATAGATATATGACCAAAATAGAAGTATGTCAAGATAGAGTATCCAGGAAAAATATTCACGCATCAACCTACTTTGGGACAAGAGAGTACCAATACAACTACAGACTAACAGCCTTACCCCAAAAGCAGACCCCAATGTGACAACATCACTCTTGTTCACACGCCGCACAACTGAAAGTGCATGTGATAGCTGCAAAACATTAAATAGTTTCAATCTATATGACATTGAGAGGTAATCATATCAATCCAGTGTAAATCATGACAAACTTAACATGTTTAAAAGTATTTCTAACACAAGATCATGGACGATAAAGTCAATTTAATTTCGAAAATGTTCAAAATAAGTTACCCGTGACAAATAGTCACTGTCTGTTCGCTCCTGAATAATGTCAGCAGGCTTATTTTCGTATACTTTTATGGTCTCCAAATACCGTCCACATTCTTCCAAGCTATGCAACAAAGAAATAAATTAAAAAAAGAAAAAGAAAACAAACACGGTTAGTAGCAAGAATTTTTCAAAATTTGTGAAAATTAAAAAGCCAGCTTGTCAATAAGTCAAGATAAAAATCTTCCTGTGAGAGGCTATGACTAGGTTCTAAAGGGTGTAACATTTTAAAATTTTGCTGCAGACTGAACTGAGCACCTTTCACCAAAGCCCCTATAACATGGTCTTACAAAAGCCTATAATGAAATTTTATTGAGTGAAACTAGAGTCACTGGACTGAAAAATACAGAAGAAAAACAAAGTTTACCCCAAGAAAACTTATTGTCACTGTTGCTAACTTGGTGCACCAAAAGAAGAAAAAACAACAAAGCTCACACACTAGAAAATTGACCTAGACTCACCTTCAGGGTTTGTGTCACCCCATATGATCTCCCCGATCGATGGCACACCTTGTAGGAGACTAATTCACCTCTTTTCTTCTCTATAGGTTAGGTTTCACTCTTTCAGAGAATAGGTGGTTTTGGTTGTAGGGTTTCCTATCTCTTTTCTCAGATCTCTCACATAAGACAAGATATCCAAAACCCTGCCCAACCCCTCATGCACCACCTCTCCTTCTCTCTCACAAATTCCTTTTCATCAAGCCCTAAAACCCTACTTTTCTTGGAATTCACTTCTCTCTTTGACCTCTCTCTATACTCCACATGATGCTCTAAATCTCAGGGAAAGATATGGTGATCTCAGCATAAAGTGGTGGGTTACCCTTTATATAGAGGTTTAGGTGAATTAACCTGATCCATGGTGTGAAAAGGCAGATCTCAGTCATCCATCCCTTGGCTAGCCATCATGGATAAAGAGTGGATCTTAACACCATTATCCCTTAGGACTCCTAGATCCCAATCATCTTCCAATCTCTTTATGTTATTAGATTTCTTCATAGCACTAGTAGATCTAGTAGGATTCTCCAATCTCCAAAACTCTTAACTAAATAAGATCTCCTATTATTGATCCAATCTCGTACCCAAGTTGAATTTTGACTTTGTAAAAACAGATTTTATCCAAGTACAACCATTTTTATATTTCCAATTTGCAATCATCCATGGGCTCCATGAATCCCCTAGACATAAAGTGGGCCTATGCCATTGACTTTAGGCCTAAAGGTCATCACATCCCCTCAACCTAAAGTGGTCCATGTGGGTCAATTGGTCGAACCATGTGGGTTCAATATTATGCCACATACAATGAACAATTGACCTCAACTTGGGGTGAGAAAAAATTAACGACCTCTTTTGTAACAAATTAAAAATAATAAAACATCCATGATCTAAAATAAAATATCGCAATCCTGTGTTTAATATAGAGAAAACAAAACCATTTTATTTTCTTGAAAAATCCTTTGGAAAGTCACTATTAAAATTATTAGCAGCCAATGCTAGCATTGGAAATAGAAAATCCACTAGGCATTTAGTAACTAACCTACGATCTCATCTACACCTCAAACTAAAATAACAGAACCGTAACAAAGTCTCCAATGCAAGGGGCTCGTGATTGGTTGTCAAACCTGACTAAGACATAAATGTGCCACAATGTATGCATAGATTCCAGGTGTGTACCCAAGGATAAGTTTGAGTCACATTGACCAAGTATGGAGTTGTAGTGTCCAGGTTCCCTCCTTCATGCTTTGTTGGAGGCATTGTCGAAGCTCTTAGGCACTCGTCCTCACAAGGCACCATCCTAACATACAGGAGCCTATTTCATCACCTAGGTAAATGATATCTACTGGGCTGATATCGACCTCGATAGGGTACCTGTTAATAGGGGGTAATCCTATCTGGCCCAGGGTGTGCGTCCATTCTTATAACCAAGGCCTAATTGTACACCATGGCAAGAGTGAAAGAGCCCATTATGTCCCAAACAGAGATAGCTCCAACCAATTATAATGGCCTATTTCATCGAAGTAGAGCCTACTCAATCCTGCCCTAATGGCCTATTTCATTCAAGTAGAGCCTATTCACATCACCCTAATGGCCTATTTCATCCAAGTAAAGTTCATCTACATTAATGGCCTGTCTCATCCAAGTAGGGCAGGCTCACATAACCTATTTCATCTATGTGAGTCTTAACACACCCACTCATGCTAGGAAAGTAAAAAAATAAAAAAAATCTTGAACTACAAACACCTAGGGAAGACAAAAAGAACATTTATTAAAAAGATCCAAGTATCAAGGCCTTTGAAAGCCACAAAACTCCAACACTTCTCAATCTGAAAATGAATTTGTGTCCAAACAAGAAAAAAATTATTTATGGAAAATAATTCAGCACAACCCAAGTTTTTTATTTGTGAATTTTGGCCATTAGACCTGTGAATTTGACTCTCTGTGTTTTCCCGAGTCAAAAATAATTTTTTATGCACTGATAAATACAAACATGCATGCAGTCATGTATATATCACTGGCAATGTAGATGAAAACGCGGAGTTGCGACTGTTAAAGAGAAAATCCATCTCCAGAATCAAAACAAACCAACTTTGATATTTATAGATGCCGGAACAAAGTAGAAGCAACATAATCCCTAGTTTAGGAATCTATTTATCAAAGAACGATAAAACCTATAGAATCCAATGAATTCTGCAGCCACACAAAGCCATCTACACTACTTTGACAAAACTAAGGTAACCATGGAATAATGAATTCTGCAGCCACACAAAGCCATCTACACTACTTTGACAAACTAAGGTAACCATGGAACAAGGACAGTGATGGATGTAAGGCTATGGCAAGAAGGTGACTGCTCTAAGTTATTATTCTAGGCACATGGAGAAGGTTTTGCTTCTATTTGTGGACACCAGATCATTAGGCAGCTGCTTGCAAAGTATAACGGGGTTACTAATAAGGAGGATATTTAACTAATTGATGGATCAGGACATGTCTACATAGAATTATTTGAGTTGAAATCAATTGCAAGAGGTGGGTTTCCTTGTGTTCTGAAGCAATACATTGAGAGTTCAGTACAAATCCTAACAAAAAATAAAAAAAAAGGAAATTTTTCAAAAACACACCTAGAAAATCAATTATTCAACATTTCACTCATTTATCAAAACAACAACACCTAAGATATAAATTATTCTAAGTAATGGTGATATGCCCTTTGATGAGTTGTTTGAAATTAAATCAAAAGAAATGGGTGAGATTATGAATAGCTGATCTCTTGAGTGCTTTGTGATAGATTTTCCAAAAATGAAATTGTCATTTTCCCTAAACAGATAAACCAAAAGTATAAGATGCATTTCAGAAACTGTTGTTCGAACAAAAGCATCATAAGCAAGGGCTTCTGAGAGATACATTTTACAAACCATTTCAAATCACGGTTTCTTATTGTTAATTCTATTGCATGCTTTTATTCCCAAAAACATGGGCTTCTATAATTGGTAGTTTCCTGTCTTCTTATACCATTTTCTTGACGTCCAACTTGTTGATCTTCAAAAGATATAGGAGACAATTTCAAAAAAATGGAAGAGTTGGCATCATACCTCCAGCCGCATAAAAGGGTACAGTCATGAAGCAAAGCAGTCCTTGTAACTTCAAGTAAAGGTTTCACCACATCTTCCTAACAATCACAGATCAATAACATTGAGGTCTTGATACATGCTAGGAAAATGCCAGCCCCAAAATATAAAAATAAGATCCCTAGACATTTGCTCTCAACAACTTTAGACTTTGCATATGAATTGTCAGTCCAGTCATCTTACCAAATCAACATGGCATAAAACAACCCGAAGCCTAAAATTCTTCTGTAACTCTCTGATCCGATAATATAAATAGTCAGGGTGAAGAAGATGGTACCGCAAGCTGTGTACCAATCATCAAATCAGCCCACATATAAAAGGATCTGGAAAAGACAAATGTATGTTGCTCTAATTTATCCTCAATTGTTTTTGTGATCCAAAAAGAAAACAGAAGGAAAGTGTGATAAGAACATCAAAAGTACGTGATAATCCAAGTTCAATAATTTTTAAGTTTGCACGGGTCTGGAAATCAAGTAGGGCGCAAATGTAATTTACATAGAGGATATGTGACACATGAATGATCCAACAGTGCAACTATCCACCCTGGCAACACGTTGCTCCATTGATCGTCTATAAATGAAACGAACCATTCATTTCAAAAGTTCATTCAAGATTATGATATGTACTTCTTGGTAACGTTAAGGCTTCATCATCAACAGTGTCAAATTGCCAGTCTTACACTATCAGCCCAGTGCTACATTGCAAATAGCATAATAGCAAAGAAAGGCCATTTGAGGGTTTCTCTTCTATATCATAAAACATGGACCATGAGTGGTGTTGTCAATATCCCCTTAATTGTAAAAGATAGCAGCAAGTGGACAGTTAACCACCATTGCATCTTCAACTGTATTGAGTCTTTATTGAAAGAACAATCCCAAAAGAAACCTAACTAGGTGCGAATTCACCCTATTTCCTCTAATTGAGTTCCATGTTATTCGATGCCAATCTACAATAATTCAATGGCTGCAAAATAGACACCCCTCGGTATCTCTTTCAAGCATCTTAGTGTGGTCATGATCATCAGGTGTCTATTTTGCAGTGATCGTCTATAAACATCGAAGAGTAGAATATACACTGATCTTAGCAGATAACTCTTTCAGGATTCAAGCTGAACTACGTAAGTGTAAACTTATAGTGGAAGTGGCATCAAATGGAATCTTACATCTATTTCCCCCAAACAAGAAAATCTGTATGAGCATCATCAGTAGAAAATTTTGAACTCTAGTGCCTATCAAGTACTCAAAATAATGTTTTATAAGAGAATATCATGAAAGGAAACATGGTTAATGGGGAGAACCTTAAATATAGTGCACAGGAAGTTTGCCCCAGCTGATAGTCCGGAACGATATCAGCAAACATCCACCTCGCATTTCGAATGTGTTTAAGCAATGGATTTCCTTGCTGCACAGAATACATGACCAACAAACAAAGTTTGCCAAATGAGTTAATATAAGAAGAAATGTAATTCATATTAGAAGTCGATGAGGTATAATATAGATATACAAATTTGAAATTCTGAATGCAAGGGTGTAGAAGAAAGAACTACAAATCATGTGGATTTGTAAGAGCAGTCTGAGACTGAGGAGACAATTTTGGTCTAAGCTAAAACATGTGTTACCATACCAATAATGACCAGTGATCAGATTGGAGTCATCTTTAATAAACAATCAACTACTTGAATATTTTTATTCTGGGCACCGGGAGTCTTAATTATGACAAGAATTACACACAGTATATGTTTATCTACTCCAATGCATACTTTATTCCTATCTGTCTTTACAACTAGAGCAAATTAAGCATACTTCCAAAGTATACTTTTCCCCCAACTAAAACATGCACTATCGATACCAATATTTACCAATGATAAACTTGGGACCTTCTTTACAAAACAAAACAACTATTTGATTGTTTTCGGACCTTTGGATAGTTCAATAGCGATGGGATCCCTACCCGTGGTAAGAACGGAACTCAAGACGTCATGTTTTGGTGCTCCGCCACCCTAACCACCTGACCTTGAGCTCATTTCTAGTTTCACACCTAATTGCTAATGAATAATCATGCAAGATAGGAGCATTAACAACTAGAGCAACTTAAGCATGATTCAAATGCATACCAGAATATGAATTCATGAAGAGCAATGTCCCAAATCATAAGGCTTGATATGACCAGCAACGACCTTAAAATTGAAGAAAAAAAGACATACGAAGTAGCCACAAAAGGTTTGGATAAACCCATAAAAATAGATTCATGGACTAAACTGACTCAACTGTGAATTGTAGTTATCCTTCAAATTGAGGCAGAAATTTCAAGTATTGACATATGCTTATTAAAGGCTGTAAAAACTAACCTGTCTACGACTAACGAGAACTGCATTGCAACCTTGGACAGAAGGAGAGGATGATGAAGAAGAAGAAGGCCCAGCTGATGCAATTTGCCTTCAAACAACCGAAAACAAATTTTAAAAAGGAACTCGAAAACATAAGGTTAGCAACAATCAGAACAAAAGAAACTAAAAATAAAAATAAAAATGATAACAAATGACCCACCTTCCATTCCCACAGTTAACATATCAAATAACAAAGAAAATAAAAACACCCAAAAAAAAAAAAAACTATGAACAGAAAGCTAATGGACTAATGGAATAATTCCAATAAGATGGGCCCCATAGAGAGTGAGAGAGAGAGAGAGAGAGAGAGAGAGAGACGTACTACGTACGGTGGTCGTCTACGAGAGGTGGCGAGAGGAGGGTACGTAACTACGTACGTTTAGTTAGAAGAAAGACGTCAGAAGAAGGAAGGTAAG